ATTCTACCTATCTATCTACTAATTTGTCAGTCTATCTACTATTCTCTAATCCATGTACCTATCTATCTACCCATCCTATAATATACCTAAGTACATATATTCCACACATTTTATTTTACATATTGAATTTTAATTTCGAAAGTGATATTGAAAAAAAAGTAAGAATCCAAGTAAGTGAATAAAAATGATAAATTTATATGAACCATTTTATGAGAGATTGTAACGAAAGAAAGAAAAAAGAGGGAGAAAATGAAACAGAGAAAACGACTGTAGTTGTGACGAAAAAGATGGAGAAAAGGAGAGAATAAGGATAAGAATAAGATGGAGAAGAATAGAAAAGGAAGACGTAAAGGGAAATGTGGAGAATGATGAAAATAAGAAGGAGGAGAATGAGAAAAAGTAAATGGTTAAAGAAGAATAAGAAAGAAAAAGAAACAGGAAAAGGGAAATGGCGAAGAAGAAGATTAAAAAAGAAGAGAAGAAGAAAAGGAAAGCGAAGGAGCAGAAGTGAAGAATACTCAAATAATGAAAAAAAAGAGAAAAATAAGAAAATAGAAGAAGTAGATAACAATGAAAATGCAATGAAAAGAAAAGAAGAAAATAAAAAAAAAAAAAAACGCAAGAAAGAAGAAAAGAAGAGGAAAAGAAAGAAGAAAAATTTATAAGATAATAAAAAAAAATAAATAAATAAATAAATAAATTCATTACAGAGTGTGTCAGCTAGAAAAGATTAAATTATTTGACCATCGAATGATTCACTTATTACGATTACTGTTAAGATAATCAGATGATTAAACTTATGATTAAATGATTAACCTTATTACCATGATTAAATAAACAAACTATATTATCATTATTGAGTTAGCATTGTCACTAACATGATTATGATTCTAGAATTCATTATTGCTGCAGATTTCTTTTCTTTTTATATTCTGTCTTCTTACTCTAAACTCGTGTGATAAAGATACAGAAAGTGGATAGAATTAAAAATTAAAGCTTTATAATATATATATATATATATATATATATATATATATATATATTATATATATATATATATATATATATATATACTCTATTGTAAATTCACTAAATATGTCTCAACGTCCGAAGTTAGCGAAAGAGCTAACTGACGAACGACCGAAGCCAGCAGCGACGCATTCGACGAAGGTAAAACGAGTCAACATAAAATCGAACGACGCGACTCACAATAAACTCACTTCAGATGAGGCTCGAGGACTAGCGCGGTAAAGTGAAAATGAAAATAACTCGGCGGAAGGGAATGAGGCCGATATTGATAAAGAGTAACTCAGAAAGTATTTTTTCCGATACAGCGGACCTCGGTTTGTGAGTTATAGCGAATGACTCAGAAATAGAGGTTATATTTCGCATGGCAGTGAGTCATAGAGAAATTGAAAATGACTCGACGGTACACGGTGAAGCCGATATTTATAAGCGTGACTCAGAGATAAAGGTCAATTATCTACGACTCAAATCAGTGAGTCATAGAGTGACTCAGGTGATTGGAAAGTGACTCAGGTGATCGGAAAGTGACTCAGGTGATTGGAAAATGACTCAGGTGATTGGAAAGTGACTCAGGTGATCGGAAAGTGACTCAGGTGATTGGAAAGTGACTCAGGTCATCGGAAAATGACTCAGGTGATTGGAAAATGACTCAGGTGATTGGAAAGTGACAGGTGATTGGAAAGTGACTCAGGTGATTGGAAAGTGACTCAGGTGATTGGAAAATGACTCAGGTGATTGGAAAATGACTCAGGTGATTGGAAAGTGACTGTGATTGAAAAAGTGACTCAGATGATTGGAAAGTGACTCAGGTGATTGGAAAATGACTCAGGGGATTGGAAAGTGACTCAGGTGATTGGGAAGTGACAGGTGATTGGAAAGTGACTCAGGTGATAGGAAAGTGACTCAGGTGATTGGAAAGTGACAGGTGATTGGAAAGTGACTCAGGTGATTGGAAAGTGACTCAGGTGATTGGAAAATGACTCAGGTGATTGAAAAATGACTCAAGTGATTGAAAAATGACTCAGGTGATTGAAAAAGTGACTCAGGTGATAGGAAAGTGACTCAGGTATTTGGAAAGTGACTCAGGTGATTGGAAAGTGACAGGTGATAGGAAAGTGACTCAGGTGATTGGAAAGTGACTCAGGTGATTGGAAAGTGACTCAGGTGATTGGAAAGTGACTCAGGTGATCGGAAAGTGACTCAAGTGATTGGAAAGTGACTCAGGTGATTGGAAAGTGACTCAGGTACCTGGAAAAAGGGACTTATGAAATAAAATCCGTGAGAGTGAAACTGCCTCGCCGGTTGAGCACGAAGAAACCGACTCAGAAATAAAACTTATTTTCCCGGACTGATAGTGAGTCACTGAGACTTATTCAAATGGTAGGAAAACGACTCAAGTATCTAAAAAAAAAAAAAAAAAAAAAAAGAGATAGAAAGAGAGAGAGAGAGAGAAAATGGAGTAGTGAAGTAAAGACAATGGGAAAATATTGCGGCTCAGCGGTTAAAATCGAGAACGCAGTATCGAGAACGGGTGACTCCATAAAGGTCATTTTTCGATACGACGAACACAGGAGAGTGAGTCATAAAGGTTTGATTCGAGCGATTGGAATATGAGTCAGGAAGAGTTCGGAAAGGTATGACTCACTAATGGAAATGTACTATAACATTGATTTTAAAAATGTTATGAATTCCTGGATTGCGATTCCATCCCTTAAGAAAATTATAGAAGAAAAGAAAAAGAAGAAGGAGAAGAAGGAGAAGGAGACGGAGAAGGAGAAGAAGGAGAAGGAGAAGGAGAAGGAGAAGGAGAAGATGGAGAAGGAGAAGAAGGAGAAGAAGAAGAAGAAGGAGAAGAGGAGAGAAAGAAAGAAGATGAAGAAGAAGAAGGAGAAGAAGGCGAAGAAGAAGAAGAAGGAGAAGGAGAAGAAGGAGGAGAAGAAGAAGAAGATGAAGAAGAAGAAGGAGAAGAAGGAGAAGAAGAAGAAGGAGAAGAATAAAAAAGAAGAAAAGAAGAAGAAAAAGGAGAAGAAGAAGAGAAAGAGAAGAAGAAAAAGGAGAATAAGGAGAAGAGAGAAGGAAAGAAGAAGAAGAAGCAAGGAAGAAAGAAAAATAATAAGAAGAAGGCAAAGAAGAAGGCAAAGAAGAAGAAAAAGAAAAGAGGAAGAGAAAAAAAAGGAGAAGAAGAGAAGGAAAGAAGAGAAAAAAATATAAGTTCTCAATTTTTTTCCCTTTAAATACCTAATTGTTTTCTGCTCAGTCAACTCCTATCGGTTAAAAGGACCGTAACTTGAAAAAAGGAAGAGGAAAATCAGCGTTATATCTCTTTTAAAAGTTTCTCCCTCAAACATTTTCCGCTCCATCTACTTTGTTCAGTCACTAAGAACCTGGAAGTCTTATTTAAGTCTCTGTTCAGTCACTAAGAACCTGGAAGTCTTATTTAAGTCTCTGTTCAGTCACTAAGAACCTGGAAGTCTTATTTAAGTCTCTGTTCAGTCACTAAGAACCTGGAAGTCTTATTTAAGTCTCTGTTCAGTCACTAAGAACCTGGAAGTCTTATTTAAGTCTCTGTTCAGTCACTAAGAACCTGGAAGTCTTATTTAAGTCTCTGTTCAGTCACTAAGAACCTGGAAGTCTTATTTAAGTCTCTGTTCAGTCACTAAGAACCTGGAAGTCTTATTCAAGTCTCTGTTCAGTCTCTATGAACCTAGAAATCTTATTCAGTCTCTGTTCAGTCACTAAGAACCTGGAAGTCTTATTTAAGTCTCTGTTCAGTCACTAAGAACCTGGAAATTTTATTAAGTCTTCGTTCAGTCATTAAGGACCTGGGAGTCTTGTTCAGTCTTCGTTCAGTCACTAAGGACCTGGAAGTCTTATTCAGTCTTTGTTCAGTCTCTATGAACCTAGAAATCTTATTCAGTCTTTGTTCAGTCACTAAGAACCTGTAAATCTTATTCATTTTGTCCTTCGTATTAAACTGCCTATGCTATTTTACTCTATTTGGCTTTGTAATTCACACTCCCTTTATACTTCGTGTTTTTTAAAATTCAATTTGGCTTTACTTTTCATCTTCATTTACCCTTACATTTTATCCTGGTTTATTTAGCTTTAAATTTCCCTCTTAATACATGCAGTTTTAAAATGTATTTTATATCAGACTACACTCAAATTTGGGGTTTTATATTTCTTCAGTGTATACGCTATCTCCCTCAATTATGGTTTATTCAATCTCAATTCATTTTTTCTCTCTCTCTTTCTCTAGCTTTACATTTAAAACTCCATTGAATCAAACTCTCGTACTATTATTATTTCCATTTTTCATATCTTTATTCAATTTTTAATTTCTTTCATTCAAAACAAATGTAATATCTACAGCATATGCATAATCCGATAATAACAAGTGATTTGTCGTGCAATCATTATTTGTGAAAAATCTACGGAACCAGCTCGCCATGTTTCATTAGCGAAGTTGATTTTTTGGATGAGAAAGAAAGACAGGTGAGAGGGATCGATAGATAAGCGAAGGAGAGGGAATGGGAGAAAGAGAGGGAGAATGAGAGGGCGGGAAGGAGGGAGAGTGGGAAAGCTAGTGGGAAAGGGAGAGAAAAGGAAAGCGAAAGAGAAAGGGAGAGCGAGAGAGAAAGAGATAAGAGAGGGAGAAGGAGAAGAGAGAGGGAAAGAAAGTAAGAAAGAGAGAGAGAGAAGAGAGAGAGAAGAGAGAGAGAGAGAGAGAGAGAGAGAGAGAGAGAAGAGAGAAGAGAGAGAAGAGAGACCGAAAGTAGAAAAAATGGAAACGAAGAAAAAATGCAAATCTTTGCTTTGACAAAATTTGCATATAAATAGCACAGCGACACCTGCAGTCATCAAATCCAATAAACAAGCAAAATGAAAAAAACAAAAAAACAAACAAAACACAGCACGGAAAAAACAAAAAAAGACAAAAAGGAGCAAGAAAAAAAAGACGAGGAATTTCTTACCTAAAATTCTGAATTACACATTTCCCTCCGACCTGGCCTCAGCTTTCTTCAAGGAAGCACGGAATATCTGCTCTTCCTTCTCCCTTTCTCTTCCTTCCTTCCTTCTTTCTCTCTCTCTTTCGTCTCCAGGAGAGAGGAATTAATCTTGCCAATCTTCCGTTGATTATCTCTTCTTCCCTTTTATCTTATATTCACTTACCAAACAC